CTAGTCTAGAACTTGCCCCGTGTGTGATTCAAAGCGAAATGATTAAGTCTTGGAAGTTTGGGAAGTGATATAGGCTTTCTTTGATTGACCATTTAGCCTATTTGCCTACCAGTGTTGATATTATCCGTAGTCACCCCTTTTGAGCCTGTAGACCTTTTCTTTGGTAGCCACATTACAAGCCGAACCCCCTTTGTTCTTAATCAAATCTTGTTGAACCATTACCTCCGAAAGCACTTAAGTAGCTAGAAGAGTAAAGAAAGATATTGGATAGCTTTTGGGTGGAACCATAGAAAGGCCAACAAGGTGCACTTGGATATAAATATAAAAAAAGTTACTAGCCAAAAATACCAAATTAAGAAGAGTGTGGAAACAAAAAGGAGAAGAAGAAAAGAAAAAAAAAGAAAAAAAAATAACAAACCTCATATCTTTGTCTGAGCTAGTAAGCATCTATATATTGATGTGCTTAATGAAGAAGGGCCTAAATGTGTATGGTTTCATGGCAAGACAATGAAGTGTTCACGACAAGAAGGTGCTTAAAAGTGAAGTGTAGTGCATTAAAGTGTTTAGGAGGGTTAGTCACTATTTTCTCAAATATATCCTACCCGTCCTTTAGCCTACGTTACAACCTATAAAGTCTTACTTGATCCTAAACTTTGTGAGCTTAAATTATAAGAGACTTACACTAAGGGCAAGCCTATAGTACGAACTTGGGTGGCATAGGAGTTTCTTTGTGAGAATGAGCGAATTCTTTCTATATTTAAGTCCTTAGACTATACTTGAACTTATATTTGAGTGTGTGGACTATTTTCTCTGTGGTTTGTTGGTAAGGGCACATGATTTGCAAAGGATTGGTAAAGACCTTGATTTTTGAGTAAGCACAAGGAGCGAGTCATAGTGTGAAGTGTATTAGAGTCAAGTTTTAAGGCGAGGATATTAGAAAGAGTCACATGAATATTTTAAATGATCTTGGCATGAGTTTAAAACTTAGGGAAAGGTATGAAGAGTGCATATGCTGGATTCTAAGTGTTGATATAAATCATTGTCATTGATGTGATGCTTGAGTATGTTTTGAAAGATATTTCTTGCCTATGCACTTAATTTTAAGTTGCTCGAGGACGAGCAAGCGTTTAAGTGTGGGGTGGTGATAAATGGTGAAAAGTGTATGTTTTGAGTGTGTTTATGTATTATTTCTTGTGTGAGTTGTGGAAGTTCACACCGCTTTTAAAGTGAAAATATGATCATTACGTATTTCTTATGTGTAGGAACAAACTTGCACGGAAAAGGATCAAATGGGAGAAAAATGGTAAAAAAGAGCTGAATAGAAAAGTTCCGAACAGCGAAGCGAGGCTCACTTTGCCAGACCGGGACCAAAACAGAAGAAAACAGGAAAGTCCCGGACAGTAAAGTGAGGGTCACTTCGACAGACCAGGAGAGGGGCAGAAAAATTCAACTATTCCAATCCGAACTAGGAGAAGCAATTTCTGCCCAAACAAACCCTAATAACTATACATACATCCTAAAACATGATTTTGAGGGTAAGACACTACTTTGGATGGAGAGACACTACTTTGGAAGTAGAGAAGACTTTAGGGATGCAAGAACACGCTAGAAGCAAGAAGGAGAAGGATTCAACTTCACATTTTTTCCCTCTTTCTTCCTCTATTTCCATTATTGGTTATGAATTCTAGTATTGTAGTTTTGCATACTATTATGAATAGCTAATTTATTATCTAGGGTTTTGATGGAACCTTTTGTAGGATAAATTCTTGTTATATTTTTATATAATTAAGCAGTTGGATTTCTCTACTTGTTCAACTACGTGTTTGTTGTTGTTGATTGAATGGTCATCAAGAGATTGTGCCTATTTAGTGTGCACTGCTCGAGAGAGAGTACATATTTAGGTAGTTGTTGAACAACATCACTCCTAACGTATGTGAGAGATCAATACGGAGGGTTTAAAGGCAGGATTAGAGATAACGAAACCTTGGTGCGGTCATAGTTAGCGGTGAATTAGTGCCAGCTAGCATAGTTCGAGAGTATACGTCTAGTAAATTGTGATAGTTGCTCGAGAGAGAGCTACAACACCCAAAGTACTCATGATCGGTAGAGAATACATAGGCAAAATTATAGAAGACTTAGCGGGAAGGATTCCGATAATTGGGAAAATCATAACTCTATACCTCCTTAATCTTGTCTCTAACTCTTAGTCTCCTTAGTTAATAATTTTATTGCTTTTAATAGTTTCTAGTTAATTAGGAAACTGTTTGGACTTGTGTTTCTTAGCGATACTAAACAACTATAGCTAAGCCTTAGTTCTCTGTGGGATTCGACTCCAGACTTATAAACCGAATTATATTTGCAACGACCGCTTAGTCCTTTTTATAAGGCATAGTTGGGCGTGATCAGAACTCAACTTTGGAGAACCTTGGAGAGAGACTAAGGCAAGGAGACACTAGATTTTATTAAAATTTCAACCAACAATCAATGCAAAATGAGAGTTTGTATCGGATCATTAAATTTAATGTTGTTTGTTTTTTAACCTATTTATGATAAATTTCTCGATATCTATGGCGTAGTTCTTCCCTAAGGTTTTGACGGATATGGTATTTTAAGTGTTATTTGTGGATTTATTTCTTGTTTAAACTTGAATTTGTTAATGGAGATTTGAATTGATTGCATATTTATTATCAGTTTATTTAATCAAAAAAAAATATTTTAGTGATTATCTTTATAGTATTTTGTTTGGTTTAATGTACTGATTCTTCTAAGTAGTCGAAAGAGCTTCTTGAATTATTGAATAAACCAAATTAAGAGAATATTGGATAGATGTTTTCCTAGCGACTATTCATTAACGCTTTTTTTTTTTTGCATATCTTCACAATGCTTTATGGAGTACTAGTTTATCTTATAAAGTTTAGGTTCATCCGAGAGAAGAATTTTGACCTTAAGATTAAGTTAATCATCCGGTGAATTCATGAGAATCATTAGATTATTAAAAGTAAATTTAATAGAGATAGATCTCGAATAACTATCTTGCACATATCTTATCGTGATGCTTATTTCTCATAGCGATAAAAACCGTCTTTGCTCAACTCTCTTGTTTTCAACATCAATTTTACTTGATCATAATTTAGCTTATTAATTAGTTGTAGTTAATAAACATCTCAAATCAAATATTTATTCCTCCTTAATAGTGTTAATCCATAAATTACTAGAACATGGTTTAATCCAATTTATGTGGATACGATATATAAATTATATTATTTTTTACTAGCGAATATTTAATTTACACATTGGCTTTGCGCTCGGCGCCTCTACTATTTAACACCCAAACGTAAGCTAATTTTTGTGATAATAAGCGGCATGAGTACAAGCAAAGGTCTTTTAACTCATTGTGCATGTTGGTATGGCCGGACAAGTATATATATATATGTCTACTTGTTTGTATATATATATATATGTCTACTTAGGTCAATATATATATACTTAGGTCTTTCAACACCCTAAACCTTTGCACATTGATGTGACCCAAATCCAAATCAAGGTTACTTAGGTCTACTTTTTTATGAGAGGCATCACCAATGTTGATGTTATTTGGAGAAGAGATTTTTGATGTCCTAAAAGCATTCTTAAAGAATGTTAGTGCATGGTCTAGAATTAAATTAGGATCCAATGTCCTATCACCATTATCATTAGTAAAGTACATAATAGCATTATGACGCTTACGATTTGAGGCCAGGATATGAAAGAACTTGGTATTAGCCTCGCCCTCGTTAAGCCGGTTTATTCTAGATCGAAGTTTCCAGAAATCATGCTCCATAGTAAGAATGGAGTTATATTCATGATGTAATTTGGATTCCAGATCTTGTAAGAAATAGCTCTTATGATAATTAGGAGAGGATTGGATGCCACTTAGCCTAGCTAGTATCCTTTTTTCTTTTTGAAAATGTCACCAAAGGTCTCATTTTTCCAACTAATAACTTCGTTTCTAAAAGTGTTCAGAGCACTGATAAGGTTGTCACTAATCCAACATTGTTTAACTAGATTAATGAAGTCCGGATGCCTACACCAAATTGTTTCCACACGAAAGGATTTATTAAAGTGATTCACATTTTTTGGGCAAAGGGTTAGTAACAAGGGATGATGGTCCGAGTGTGTTTTGGGGAGGTAGATTACCATAGCCTTGGGGTATAGGGATAGCCAATCTTCATTAACAAAGATTTTGTCCAGCCTCTCCATAATTAATCATTTAGATTTTTTCCTTAAATTAGACCAAGTATACTTAGGATCTTTATAACATAGGTCTAATAATCGACAATTATTAATATTAATCCAAATGGAGTTTCTACGTCTACGATTAATAGGATTACCCTCTAGCTTATCATTAGAACTAAACACATCATTAAAGTCTCCTCCTAACAACCAAGGTCATTTGTAACTAGCGCTAATACTTTCTATATTTTTCCATAAATCATTTCTTTTATGTGTTTTAGTGCTAGCATAAATGGAAGGAAACAACCAAGAGAAATGAGAAGGAATTACCTCAATTGATGCATGGATTTCCTGATTCCTCCTAACAAAGTTGTGCACCTTAACAAGACTAGCGTCCCAAAAAATAACCATGCTTCCAGATTGGCCATCACTTGGGACTTCGATCATTTCAGAGAAAGCAAAGTCGCTTAGAAGAGAAATGTGGCTTTCCATTCTCGTTTCTAGTAGTGTAACCATGCACGGCCTATGGGTGTCTATCATTTCTCTGAAGTTAACCCTAAAGTTTTCATTGTTTCCCCCACGGATGTTCCATATAATAATGTTTGTAGGTCTAAACATCATTGCATGGTTGTTGCTGGACCATTATCCATTTGAGTTTGTAGCGCTGGGTTCCTCATTAAGCTGGGGACTAGGGTCATAGCATGGTTCCCTACTGTGGTATCCTAGGGGGTCTCATATCCATTGAGCATTTGTATAGTGTTGGGGGAAATTGAGCATATATCTCTTCTCTAGGAGATCTCTGAAGAGAAACATTTTACCTCGTTGAGGCTTGAAAATTCTAGGACTGGACCGGACCCTAGTAGATTTATCTCCTCTTCCTCTTCCATTAGGACATTTTCTGGTTCTGGAGCATTGGGAGGGAGTTGAACAGGTGGAGCTAGGTTTGCTATTGGTGGTGGGGCAGCCTGTGGCATTTGGAGTGGGATATTTGGTGGATTTTCTGGTTGGACAGGGTTTGCATAGGGAGGAGCTTGCATGTTGGGGTTGGGCTGGGCTTGGGGGTTGTTCATTGGTAGGGACCATGTCATGAATATGGGATTCATGTTTGAGATTTCCCCCGGGGGAAGAAGGGTAGTTCCAGCTGGGCAGAGTGGTTTTGGATAGGGTTGAAGTGAGGTGGCAAGCTCCATTGGTGCCTCATGGCTTGGACTTGATCTAGGTTCATCGATGGTGCAAGGGGATGAAGAATGTTGTTCATCCATACATGGTTGAGGTAATTGTTCATTGCCATGTACATTCCTTCCGACACTAATTGGGCTAGAAAGTGTGAGTTTTGGAGAACTATCACTGTCTCCTGGCCGTCTAAAATCATGTTGAATGTTATAGCATGGCCCATTAGAACTTGTTCTATCCAAGAGAGAGGTTGATGATCTTGGGGTAGTGGGGGTTGTATGAAGAATACTTGTTGTTTGTTTGAGTGTTTGGAGGAATTGGTGGATTTGACATATTTATGGCTCTTTGGTGTCTCACTATTTGGACTAGTCGAAACCTTCTTCTTTGGGAGATTGGGATCCTTGGCATCTTTGGAGGGAGTTTGTTGATTATATTATAATTGAGTGGTGAATTTTCCTGTACTGTTTTTGAGTTCACCAATGGAATAGAGTTGGTTATTATAGTAGAGTCTATATGCATGTCTTTTATATTGCTTGATAGAATGGGATTTGGAAGATTTTGTTCAAATTGTGTAGGGAGGACGTGGTTGGTTGGTTTAGCCATTTGTGTAAAATCTAGTGTTTGCATGGACACGTGTAAGCTTGTGTGAAGAGGAGAGTTATTTCTCATGCAATAAGAATTATTTCCTTTAGAGAAGATTAGTGGTTTGTTTAGGGTGTGCCAGGTAATGGGGGGTTGTTTAGAACCCTGATGGGGTTAGTTAGGCCCTCATTACTCTTAGATAGAGAATGATTATCTTGCATGTCGTTTAATTGGCCCTTTTCTGTAGTTACCATTTGGACATCCATTTCATGGACTCCTTCCACATCATTTACCATGCAGCTTGTATTGTTTTTAATAGATTTATTATTATTATTATTATTATTATTATTATTATTATTATTATTATTATTATTATTATTATTATTATTATTAAAAAAATTATTCATTTTAGGCGGAGGAACCAATGCATCAAACATATTGCCAGTAGTAATGTACATTTTAGCGGACTGATTTTTCCCATTAATTTTAGGGTGTGTAGTAGTAGTGGTATTGCCATTATCAAGAGATTTTCCTGTTGAAATCTCATTTAATAAGAGAGATTGAGACATACCTGGAGGGAGTGTGATTGGGTTTTGCGACTTACCAGAATTGAAGGGCATCACCTTTATATTTTGATTGGATTTTTTCTTCTTGGGGAATACAACCGTTTGCCAATTACCTTCCTTTGTCTGGAGAGTGGAGCTTTCCATTTTGTCGTGAGGATCACCCAATGTGCTAGATTAGTTGTTGGCTAGGACTTCTTGGGTAACTGTGGTAGAACACTTAGGTAATATGTAGTGACAATTGGTCATTGAGTGACCTAGTCTGCCACATTTTTTGCATAAAAAGTTTGCACCTTCATAGTGGATTTCTTGTTTATGTTGTCCAATGAAGACATAAGGGGTGACAGGCACATCAAGAGGGATTTCAATACAAAGCCTAACATACCTTCCTCTAAGTGTGGAGGAGGTACAAGCATCAATTTTTAGTAATCTACCGATTTATTACCTACTTTCGTTAAAATGAGACCATCATAGAACTCAGTAGGTAATTATGGGAGACAAATCCAAATAGATGTGTTTGCAATTTTAGCTTTCGAAGAATGAAGTTTGGAACTCATTTTTGGACTGAAAGAAAGTGACCATAAATAAACCAAGGGCCATTATGAAGAGCTCTTAGCATACTCTCCTCATTATTGAACTTAGTAATGTAGAATTCCGATCCTAGATCAATCAGAGGAAAATTCTCTTTAATTTTCCATAATTCTTGAATTTTACTTTTTGGAATATGGTGTTGAGTCTTTTTTTCCTTAAAGCTTGATTATAGTAGAGAATCTCCATGGATGGTAGATTCTTTTAAGATCTTCCGGAGATAGTTGAATCCCTTGTCTTTGATCTTCCTTAGGGTTATTTGAGTGAGATCTATTGACTTCATTATGTAAATCCTTGATTCCATCGGGAATTGGATCAATGATCATATGGATTTGGTCTTCATGTATTCCATCCAATAATTTTTGTTTAAAACTTGTGTTAGGAAGTTCAAGTATTATGGTAGGTTGTGTTATATCAATATCCGGTGATTTGGGAGGGATTTGATTGTTTTGATTGAGAGTTTTCATTGTGTTACTAACAGAAGGTGTTTGAGTGTTGAAGAAATTTCTTGTGGTAGCTAGTCAACGTCTTTTCGGTTAGTAGTAATATCCAGTTGTTAACATAGTCCTACCAAAATTCAGCACATGAAAATTGACTTAATATTAAAATATGGGAACTAACGTAGAGGTACCAAAACCTGTAACCTACAGTATTATGAACTAAGAAGAAGTAAGGAATCATTGCATTACCCTCTGCAACTCCAAAAATAAAGTTGCCGAGAATATAATATGGCGAATTAGCACCTAATGCAAAAGGTAACAATTAATTTGATTAGCAGCTACCAAAAACAATCAATTGTATTTTTAGCTGCGAAAACGAGAGATTCTGAAAATATTGAGCACACATGGTTTTGATATCAGATAAAATATGATGTCCCAAGAAATAACGTTGTCAAATAATACAACTGCATCTTCCATGAAATATTATTTTTTCGCTTCCATGTGAATCAAATATACAAGTTGTTCGCTTAAACTAACAGATTCGTTAGAATATTAGCAACTAGTCTTAGTCTAGACACTCGTAAGCAAGTAGTCTTAGTCTAAACCGTAAGTACGTAGTTGGAAGTAATATTAACTGAAGACATATATCATCAGGAGTAGGGGTGTACAAAAGGAAGCCGAAAAATCGCACCAAACCGATAATTCGAGTCAAATCGGAAAGAAAAAAAAAACTCGACTATGGTTTGATTTGATTTGGTTGGGTGTTAAAAAAAAAATCGACCATAATTGGTTTGGTTTGATTTTAACTAAAAAAGGTCAAACCGAAACCAAACCAACCCGACATTACATATATAGAAGTTTTAAATATATTTAATACATAAAAATATTTATTGTAGTGTAGTTTATAAATATATTTCTTAAACTTTTCACAATATTTATTGCAATCATATATATATCATTGTGCATGTTGGTATGACCTAAGTATATATATATTGCCCAAAATATATATACAAGCAAAGGATTGTTTATAGCTGAAATGTAGACATATATATACATTTGGACTTCGTTGAGATTTGGATTTGGGTCACATCAATGTGCACCCGAATTTAAGAATA